CTGGGACGAGCGACGGGAGCTCACTCCGTAGCGTGGATTCAATCTTACGACGGCTGGTCTTCCGACCTTGCAGCACAGAGGCTTCTGCGGTTTAACCCGCAGCACCACCACATCCCCTGTAGCAGAAAACTGACACTAGAATTGCAGAAGATTAGCCCACCCTAGATTTCAAGTGTGGCATACCTCACCAGATGCATGCGTAATGCTCTAGGGTCTCTTAAACTCGCCACAGCTTACTACCTCCACATATCTTAATCTGGCTCTGTACAAGCATCTCCCCTGAAGAAGTAAACTTCATTGTTTCTCATCAAGGTGAATTATGAATCGGTGGGGAGGGGAGGAAAAGCAGCACAGCGACTGAGCAGCGGGTAAATGTGCGTAGGAAATGTGGGCGGCATGGTAGGTGGGTAAGCAAGGACCCCATGTCACCGTTAAGGGAGTATAATGGAAGACCCATGTTTTAACCCCAGGTAGGTGGGAACACTGGATAAATGCCTCCCGTTTGATTGCTTCAGAAGGTCAAGGAAAAGGAGAGGCGAACGCCCCTCTGTTGCCAGCTCAGTTTCTCACCCACCCACGCAATGAAGTGCAGAGAAGAGGTATCAGCGAGAAATATCACATCCCCCTTTCTCTTTACACATCCGCGAGAGGGTTGCCATGTTTTTAAAAGCAGCCCTGCTCTTCTGCCTTTTTAACAACTACGTAGAGGAAACTCTAGGAGCGTGTTAACTGTTTAGTTCCAGAATCGTATTCATTGCATTTCTTAGTTTCACTCTAGGCCTAAAGGCAGAAGACTAAAGGCAGAGAACGGATGAGAAAAGAGTGCCGTGGGACTAGGTAAGCCAACCTTTTTCTTATAAGAGCTTCATGAATGGTCGGCCTTCAGACATGTGGTGTTATCCAGAATTTCAGGCACGCGCGGTTGTGGGGATATTGACTACTTCAGTCTTTAGGCCTTGAGATTAATAAAGATGTTTCTATGCAGACATTCCCCTCTTTAAAATGAATGGGAAGGAGTTGTACAAGAGGACTGGATGGGAAAACCTGTGAGTTCTGGAGGGTTTTTGCTCTTTCTGGTGGGGCACCACCGGCTCCAGGCATAAGCTGTATAAGGAGGAATTTCCAGAGCTGATTCAATGGCCGGTGGAGTCAGGTTACTTTTCTATACATAGCAATTTTTATCTAGGAGTAAGTCCCACCAATTCTGCCTTGCGCTGCTCCTCACCCTTGGGTCTCCCAGGTGTTCTTGGACTACAACTCCCAGGAATCCTGGCTGAAACAGTTGGTGGTGAAGGTTTCAGGGAGTTTTGGTCATAAGACATCTGGGGACACAAGGTTTGGAACCACTATTTCTTGGATGCACACCTTAATGGGGTGAAGGGGTTTGAGTGAGTCAGTGAAGCCGGAAATAATGCCACGAGGAAGCCAGACTTCATTGTCAGACTTCTGGACTCCTAGCAGAGTCGCTCAACGTCATCAAGAGTAAGGGTCACAACAGCAGAAGAGAATGGATAGTTCCAGTAGAGATGGAACTATAGCTGAAGATGATATTGGCAGACGAGGCAACTGCAGTGACACTCAAGCCAACTTTTGTTACTACTGCACAGAAGGTGGCAAGGGTAAACAGCTACTGAACTTTCCTTATCATGAAAATCCAATGAAAAGACAGTAAAAAAAAAGGGGGGGGAAGTGATAGTGCTGGAAGATGAGACTCCCAGGTGTGAAAGCATCCAATCAGACCTGGAGAAGAGCAAAGGGCAAGTATAAGAAGCACTTTTGCTAATAATGCAACTAGATTAAAGCTGAGAAGACATCTAGTGGATGATGAGCACAGAAGTGAAAGGAAAGTCTGATGCTGCGAAACAAACACACTGTTGGAACAAGAGAAATATGAGTCAAGATAAAGTGGAAAAAACTCAGATTCAGAAGGGCAGCAATGAATGAATTAGAAAAAGATAATCAAATGTGAAGATGTGTCACTAGAGACCAAGGCCGAGATCATCCATGCTCTTGTATTCTCAGTCACTATGTGTGGGTGTGAAATCTGGACAGTAAAGAAAGCTGACAAGGAAAAAAAAAACCTGATTCAGTATTGCAAGAGAACTTTTCAGATACCCTGAACTGCCAGAAAGACTAACAAGTGGATCCTGGAGCAAACCAAGCCTGTGAATTATCTCCAGAGGAAAAAGTGTTGAATCTGAGGCCATCCTACTTTGGGTGCATCTTGAGAAGGTAGGATTCTCTGGGAAAGACCATAATGCTGGGAAAGGTGGAAAAGAGGATGACTAAAGATGAGATGGATTGGCTCTCTAAAGGAAGCCACAGGCTTGAGTCTGCAAGAGCTGAGCAGGGCCATTGAGGAGAAGACACTTTGAAGATTGCTCATTCATAGGGTTGGCATATGTCAGAGGTGGCTTGATGGCATGTAAGGAGAGTAACACAGTCGAATGTAATGGGATTTGCTTCTGAGCAAATATGTGTAATTGCCCCATGAGCTATGAATCAGTTTGGATCTTCCCTCTGGTGGTCTCTTAGCTGAAGCCAAGTTTGTGTGTGTGTGTGCGCGCGCGCGCTTCCCTGCTTCTTCCGCTGATAATTTCTCTTCCTGCACTTCCTTTCCCATTTATTTTTACACCAAACAATCAACTTTAACCATCTGTATTTTCAGTTCTCATTATGTGAGCAAAATAATCTCATTTTCTGCATTTTATATGTTTTAGGATTTCTTAGTCTTTGTTCTTTCACATCAGTATTTCTTTGATGGTCATTCTCAGCATCTCACAACAATTTCACCTTTCAAATGCTTCTATCTTGTTTACAGCAGCCCAAATTCTGCTCACGACATGGGTTCAATCCCAGGTCACCGGCTCAAGGTTCACTCAGCCTTCCATCCTTCTGAGGTTGGAAAATTGACTAATCCATGTGTGCCAAACTGTAGCCTGCATAATGGAATTGTAAACTGCTCAGAGAGTGCATTAAGCCCTGTGGAGAGGTATATAAGCAGCACGCTTTGCTTTGCTTTTTTGCTTTACTTTACAGTAGTCTGTGTTTGAGACCACAATTCCATGTCCTGCGGTAAAATTAAGACGACTGTACAAAATGCTTTCCTAAAACAAATTTAAATTTTTCATTGCATACTATTGTCTTTACCTTTAGCAAGCTGCTTTGAGCTATCTGAGTTCCGACCATTATTGAATGGTTAGGCTTCCTTTGTTCCTTCACACAAATTCCAAGGTACTTATATTTATACTCTAAATGTTCATTTTCAATCTGTTAATGCATTTCTTGGGCTGCTTGCTTTTTACTGATCACCCCAGACCCGGTTTTCTTAACATTCATTTTCAGAATGTGTTGATTACTTGCCCCATTGACTTTACTGAGTAATGTTTGAAGACCATCGGAATTTTCAGTAGGCAGTATTGTATCATTTGCATGTCAGATGCGGTGGATCATCTCTCGATGACAATGAAGGCATCGTTTGAAAAACCAAGTGCTTCTCCAAATATGTCCTTAGAGTACAAACTGAATAGCAGTAGGAAAAATGTATGCCCTTCTCATATCCCCTTTTTGAGTCTCTTCTCCCTCTGTCTTCTGATCCTCTGGCTGCAACTTTTAATTGCCTAAGGTTTTGAAAGCACCAACTCTTTCTCCCATGCAGACATTCTGTTGTCTGAAAGAGAGAGGAAGCAACTGAGATGTGGGAGAGAATGCACAGAGATCGGGACGAGTGAGGAGAAGCTCATGAACACGGAAATCATAGAACTGCAGAGCTGGAAGGGACCCTGTGGGTCATAAAGTCCAGCCCTTATCGGGGAGCCACAGTGGGGAATCGAACTCCCAGCCTCTGGCTTCACCGCTCACCAGCCAGGTCACAGAAATGAGAAACTGACCATCTTGCAGATGACGCTGTAGCCATACAGATGTTGCTGGGCTGCATTTCCCAATTCTGTACGTGAAACAGATTCTGAGTCTGCCTTATAGTAGGCAGGACCTCTGTCTTTAAGAGAAAAGATGAAATAACAACTCTCTTTTCTTTGTGAGTAGATGTGGTTTCCTTAGCTACCTACCTAGAACTGCCTTGGAAACATTGGTCCGTCTTTTACAATAAGTCCGAGGTTTACTGCTGCTCTTGACCGCTTGCTTGTTATTATTTATAGGGGCTAATGAAAATGTTGAAGAACTGATGCTTTTGAATTGTGGTGCTGGAGGAAACGCTGGAGAGTCCCCTGGACTGCAAGGAGATCAAACCGATCTGTTCTAGAGGAAATCAACCCTGAGTGCTCACCGGAAGGACAGATCCTGAAGCTGAGGCTCCAGTACTTTGGCCATCTCATGAGAAGAGAAGACTCCCTGGAAAAGACCTTGACGTTGGGAAAGTGTGAAGGCGAGAGGAGAAGGGGATGACAGAGGACGAGGTGGCTGGACAGTGTCATCAAAGAGACCAACATGAATTTGACCCAACTCCAGGAGGCAGTGGAAGACAGGAGGGCCTGGCGTGCTCTAGTCCATGGGGTCACGAAGAGTCGGACACGACTTCACGACTAAACAACAACAATGAAAATGTTTCTCCCTCCTAAAGCTGTTTGATAAAGTTAGAATAGCACAGACAGAGTTCTGACTCCTGTCTTCTGAAGATGCCAGCCACAGAGACTGGAGAAATGTTAGGAAGAAAAATTTCAAGAACACGGCCAGACAGCCCGAAAAACCCACAACAACCATTGGGTCTTGGCTGTGAAAGCTTGGAGAATACAAAGTTAGAATTGTTTTCCCTAGCATATCTGTGTGCCCACATTTCAAAAAAGCAGAGGATTCCCTAAGAGGAAAACATCTTTGGTTTATAGCAAAAAGAGAGAGAGAGAGAGAGAGAGAGAGAGAGAGAGAGAGAGAGATTATGTTTGAAGATATACTTCCAAAATCAAAGAAAATTGGGCCACAGATCACAGTCCCACACAACATGGGCCCATGGACACACCTTTCCTGTAGTTTAATTCAAGCCCAGATAGACACAAGAAGCTGCACTCTGCTTTCATGGACATTTGTCCCCACTTCGGATACATCACACTTGTAGTGCGCTAGTGAACATAATAGGACAAATACAGATCCATTGGACTGGAATAGTAAATAGCTGCAAATGAGTTTGTAGATGCTGATAATCTCAAAAGTCTGTATTTCTTTTCAGTTCTCCATATTGTTAGCAATAGGATGTACATTGTACAGGGAGTGGGTTGCTCAGTGGAGTACCTTGTAGTGTTTAGTTAGAGTGGAAGTTAAGGGACAAAAATAGTGTATCAATATGTTCTTATTTTGTGAGGAGATAGCTCAAACAATGGTGAATTTCCTCTGACCTCTGCAAGTTCAGGAAAACAAAGTTTGCATTTGAGAGGTGCATGTTCTTTCCCTTTCTCTCTCCGTCCTCCTGTCTCTCTTTCTGCTTGCTCCTTATTTCTGCACAGCGCAGAAAAGTCTCTCAGGCAAAGGCCGGGTGAACATGGGTGTCCTCCCCCCTTTCCTCCCCCCCTTCCACCCCCAGAAGGTTGTCTAGAAGAGTAAGAGTGATGCTTCTCATTAGTCAAAGCTTCCGTCGCCTTCCCTGATTGGCGCTGGAGAACTGATGCTGAGCTGGGGCTCAGGGACAGCAAGAAGCATCCCGGCAATAAAAAGGGGGGCACAAGGAGAACTGGTTTCCAAAGGGGGAAGGACTTGAAGCTCCCAAGCCAACGGGGAAAACCCTTCCCAACCCTTCCAGAAATAAAAGGAGAGGCCAGAGCAGTGGCAGAGAGCAGAGAGAAGAAGGACTTGCAACTTTTTTGTGTCTGTCCAGAAAAAACAAGTGGAGAAGTGGAACCAAGGAAATTGAGAATTCCTTGCTCAGGTAAGGTGTGAACTCTTTCTGCATGCAGTTGCCTTCCTTTGCGAGCCTTCTTTACAAACTGCTGAGATGTTTCCTCCCAGTTCTTTGTCCTGAAATGTTCCTGGGTGGTTCCCCCCCCCCCCCCCCTCCCCTGCCTTCTCGTTTCCTTTCCTTCATTGATGCCTTTTCAGCTCCACTTCTGTCCTTAGCGACCAACGCTGTTTGATCATCTCCCCTCTCGTGGCTAGCTTTTAGTAGCACTGTAAAAAAAAAAGGAGATAAGGAAAAAGATGATTAAAAACTGCAAAAGAAACTTCATCTCAGTTCCCCGTCTTCCTCAATAGTCTAGCGATGGATTTTGTACTTAAGAGCTGCCTCTGGAGAGCACATTTATGACACTTCCACACAGGCATCAGTTCCCTCTCTAGGAAGATTTATCAGCAAGGTAGAGAGATACTGCCAGGGGCGAACACCACGCTTATTATAATGCATTTCTAATGTTCAAGGTAATGGAAAAGTGATAGAATTACTATCCTTATGAAAATCCATATTCAGAAGCTTCTTCTTTGTTTTTTAATGAGTGAGATATTTCCTGATGCTCAAAATTCATCTTCTCTGTATCTCTTTACTCCAGTTTTTCCCCTTGAAAAGTGCGGACACATGCTGTGGGATGTTTATAAACCGCCCAGAGAGTGCCATAGACTATGGGGCAGTATATAAGCTAAATAAATAAATAAACCAATACATTTCTCTGTTGCCACGGTAAATGGAAAGGGGAGATCTTCGGTCTGCGCCTGAGTTTGATGTGTGCAGCTCTTTCGCAATTACTAGGAGAAATTATGGACATGATTCAGAAAAAATATATATAATGTAAAGTACTTTGAAATCCCATTGATTTTGAACACATACCTAATGACTTAACGGCTGTTGTCCCGTAGAGACAATAAACTCCATTGACCTCAATGAGATTCACTTCTAAGCTGACACATCTAGGATTTTACTCAAGAGTCTGACTGGATCATGCCCATTTTCTAGTACTGTTCTTTGCCTGTACACAGAAGCAGCAGGCTAAGACAGTCTTGTGGCTAGTTATGAGACGTATTTAAAGGAATGGCCATAAAATCCGTATAGAAAGGGTCCCTTGAATATTGCCCGTTGAGATGTTCTCCTCCTCTCAACTAGCCTCCCGGAAAGGAAATTATTCCATCCAGTGAAGCTTCTGCATCATGCCTTCATATGTCTTTGGAATCATTAAAATAGACTGTGGAGCAAGACAGCTAGAAATGAATGAGAAGAGAAGAACAGAGTAGTTTTTTGGAGGGTAGAAATTTCTGGTGCTCTTGGACTGCTAGATATCTCAATGGTTCTGACATCTGACTGTGGAGCCAGAGGTTGGGAATTCGAATCCTCATGATCCATAAGGTCCCTTCCTTCTCTGCAGTTCTAAGAGCCCAAAATTTAAACTGTTGTGTGCATACAATGCACACGTGTTATTACCGCTGAATAGCTCAGTGGCTTAGGCATCTGGCTGCCAAGCCAGAGGCTGGGAGTTCGATTCCCCACTGTGCCACCTTGACAGGGGCTGAACTCCATGATCCATCAGGTCCCTTCCAGCTCTGCAATTCTAAGATGATGACAGAGAAATGATGTGACACCTTTAACGCCAGTGGTTAGAGCAGATCGCTTAAAGAGAGCAAAAGGCAGGTAGACAACACTAAGTCCCAGAGCATTTCACTCATTTTTAAAAAAATTATTTATGAGGGATATTAAACTGGGTGAATTCCAGGATGAGTGAGGGGGTGGACCCTCTGCACCAACGGCAGTTCTCCATAGGACATTTACAATACTATAGTTGGGGCACAATCCATAGAGATGTTGCCCGGTGCAAGGCTTAGACAGGAGACGTTCCCAGTGTCTAGCATCCTATCTGTGTATTTACAAGCTTTCTCATTGAGCTTTTCCTTTGTAATGCTGAAGAATAAAACAATCCCTCCAGCATGCAAACACACACACCTCACGCGGTGGTGTTTACAGCATATTCCTTTCTAGGCTCAGCTTTTCTTTACTTTATTTCCCCCCCCCCTTCCATTCATGTCACTGGTTACTTTCAGAGCTGTTTCTGCAGCAGGCGAGCGAGCAATTATACTGCACAATAAATGGATGCTTTCATCAAGGCTAAGAAGGAACCTTTTAACTTGACTGTTTTGCCAAACACCACCTTGTGTTTTCTCAGACTGGGAAAATTCATGGCGAGCTTCCATGTTCCAAAGCAGTCTACCTCTGAACAATAGGGCGAAACAATGGCGGGAGGCGCTTTGACCTTGTTTCTACACCATTTGTGGGCTTCCAGACAGTATCTCACTGCGCAGAGGCAACGCTGGCTTAGGTGGATCATAGTTTAGGAAGTCTCTTTTTTGTGATGGTTGTTGTGGGTTTTTCGGGCTCTTTGGCCGTGTTCTGAACGTTGTTCTTCCTGACGTTTCACCAGTCTCTGTGGCCAGCATCTTCAGAGGACTGGAGTAGGAACTCTGTCCATGCTCTCTCTTTTTGTATTCTCTAGTTTCCAAAACCCTTCAGACAGCATGGCCAATGGGGATTGTAGTCCCCAAATCACAATATTTCGGAACTCTGAGGGAACGTTGCTTTGGTGTAACCCATCAGGTTTCTGTTGCCCTGAGTATTTTGACACAGGGAAGAAATGGAAAAATCCAGATCTCCAAGCTGCAGATCTAGTGAAAGCAGTGTGTCCAACAGAAGTGAGAATGATCCACCTTTACACATCACACTTATGAAAGACCAGTGGCCTGATTCGAGCCACTAACATTACCAGTTGTCTGGTGCTAAAGTTTATCTCAACTGGACTATGAAGTCCTTTTGAATTGGATGTGTTCTCCTTTTTAGACCACTCTGTTATTGGTCCTTCTGCATCAACCTGTGGCTTCAATCAATGGCAGAGGTATGGCATTAGAAGCTTTGGTTTGGCCAGTAGAATGAACTGGCGCAATGGCGCAATGAGGTTCTGGCTGTTTTCAGATCTGCACCAAACATGAGTCTTCAACGGTCAGTTCTCCTTTACTTAAGAAGCTCCAGCTTTTCAAATACTCTCGTTTATTGAAAGGGATCTGCTGGATGGAACGCTCAATGAGTTAGATATTTGGCTGTAGAGCCGGACGTTGGGCGTTCGATTCCCCCAACTGTTCCTCCCAGGAGAAGAGCCAGCCTATGTAGCCTTGGGCAAGCTGCTTAGCCCAAAAAGAACCTGTGTAGCCTTGGGCAAGCTGCTTAGTCCCAAAAGAAGGGAAGGGTAAAACGCTTCTGAAAATCCTGAAAAGGGTCCTCATAAGTCAGAGTCAACTGGACAGCACACAGTTATTATGATTACTAAAAGGTACAAGCTTGCTGGGGTCATGAAGAGTCGGACAGGAGTGAATGACTAAACAACAACAACAACAAGCTTGCTGGTCAGTTGGTTGTTTCGATGTGGCCTCAGAAGCGGCCAGATGAGAACAGAAGGATTTGACTTTCAAAGAACCATTCATTTGGCATCGCATAGTGGACACATGAAGAGAGAGAAAAAGACACCGTTCCTGCGCCTTTGCCAGCCGCGTAAAAAGGAAGAATTTCAACGGGCGCAGATTGTCATGAAAATTCTCTCGCACAACTGTTCAAAGTGTGTGATCCCTGGCTTTTTTTTAAAACCTGGTCACCCTTACCTGTTTCCAGCCTGACAGGCCATCCCGGGAAAAGCGTCAGAAGGGCACAAATGCAGCTGTCCCATGCTGTTCACATAGACATTTTGCAGATATACTGTAAGTGAAGCTGGAGGTTCCATTTTGTTGATTTCTATTTTATTCGGTTTCTACCCTGACCATCTAGACCAAAGGTCTACTTCCATCTAGCATTTCTCAAAGCAGGCTCTTCCAAACATCTGTCATTATCGCCTGGTCTGGTTGCGGATTACAGAAACGGTAGTCCAAACACACCTGGAGGGCACAGAGTCAGGAAAAGCTGGAAGAAATCCATTAAGGCCAGGAACGCCTCCTTGCAGGTAGGTTAGTTCTTCCCTGTGTTTATCTAATCCCCTTTAAAAGCCATCTCGGATAATCAATCCGCCACACCTTGCAACAGCTGAGCTCTGTCAGTTAATTAGGAGTTATCTGGTGAAGTACTTTTTCTTTTGTCTGCCTTGAACCGGTGGTTAATCAGTTTAATTGGCTGACCTTGAGGTGTCATATTACAAGAAAGGAAGAAAACATTTTTATCCTCTGTCTCTCTCCCCCGCTTTAACGCTCTCCGCATCCAAATGATTTGAACGCACAGAAACAGAAAACAAAAATCTAAATATTTTCTCCAAACTACGCAGGGGAGCAGATCTTATGCATTCCATAGGACCCAGGTAGCCACCGTCAGCACACCTATTAGCCATGCACTCTTTTTTTTTTTGGACAGATGTGCCAAACCAATCCCATTGAAAGCTATCCGGGGGCAACCATGGGAAGAAGAAAGAGTGCCGGCCATCCCTGGAGAGACTCAACCCTTCAATGGATAGCCTTGTCCTCTATCCGGCGTTCAATGGCCAAAATCTGGTTGCTTTTTAGCCCAGTAGATTGCCTTAGAGTAAGCCCATTGAATTAATGGAGATTTAGTAAGTCAGCACCTCCGTAAGTACCATGGATTGAGCAGGCCTTCTCTGAGAAGATGCATGTCCCGATGCAGCACATATGCTGCCGTGTCCCAAAATCGATCACGTCCCGTACTCCCATCCCGGGGCATACCCACTGAGAACCCTTGTTCATAGGATTTTTTAAAAAAAAGGAGATCTGGAAACACACAAAATAGCTTCATGGATTTGGAGAATGAAGGAGGAGAAGAATGTTTCCCAAAAGGTAGAAGGAGTCAGTCCTGATCTGCAGGCCCTCGATTTCTCCATTGGTTAGGCCAGAAATGTCTGGACATGTCTAAAAAGTAGTTAGGAGGACGTACCACGAGAGGTGGACATGGACCTGAAAAATGGGGATTCG